GGTGTGAGCCAGCGGGTCTGTGTGAGGGGAGGTGGAGAAGCAGAGGGGCTTCTGCTGAGACAGAGTGAAGAGTGGGCATGAGGTGGGCTTGAGAAGAGTGAAGTTTGAAATTGTGAGAATCATTATCAGAAAAATTATTCTCAGGATGCAACAGTTCCTCGGTCATCTGAGAGAAATTATGATTGGAATACCCAGGTTACTTGCACTACTTTCCTAGAGTTGCCATAACAAAACATCACAAAGTGAGTGGCTCCTAGCAACCAGGAGAGAACTTTATTCTGTCATGGTGTTGGATGTTACAAGTCCGAAATCAAGGTATGAGCAGGGCCATGCTCCCTCTGAAGTCTCCAGGGGAAGATCCTTCCTTGTCCCCCCCTAGCATCTGGCAGTTGCTAGTAATCCTGGCTGTTACTTGGCATCCTTGGCTTCTAGATGCATCATTCCAATCTGCACCCCTGTCCTCACATGGCTTTCTCCCCTCTGAGTCGGTCTCCATGTTTTCCTCTTTTTATAAAAACATCAGTCATTGGGAGCTCCTGGGGGCCTCAGTCGGTTAAGCGTCTGACTTCTGGCTCAGGTCATGATCTCACAGCTGGTGGTTCAAGCCCCACATAGGTCTCTGTGCTGACAGCTCAGAGCCTCTAGCCTGCTTCAGATTCTATCTCCCTGTCTCTCTCTCTGTCCTTCCCCTGCTTGTGCTCCCTCTTTCTGTCTCTCTCTCTCAAAAAAATTTTTTTAATTAATTAAAAAAAAAAAGAACATCAGTCATTGGAGTCACCCTACTCCACTATGACCTCATCTTAACCTATGTATGTCTGCAAAGGCTCCATTTCCATATTAGGTCACATTCACAGGTTTCAGGTGGACATGAATTTTAGGGGAACACTATTCAATTCAGTATATATATTACTAAGACATGAGATTGTGTTAATGCATCTTTAAAGTATTTGTATAATTAAAATGAAAAAGTCTTTAACAGCTCATGTGTATAGATCTCAAATGCTTCATAAGCACAGTGTCAACGTGCCCCCTGTAAAACTGTTGTGGTATCTCCATTGTCTCTGTGTTACAGGTGAGGACACAGAGGCCAAGAGTAGCTGAGTGATTTGCCTAGGGTGAGATCCTGGCAGAGCTAGGCCCAGAACACAGGCACCCTGACCAGTAACACTCAGCTCTATTGCCTGCCTTTTTCCAGGTAACCTGGAGTTAATCAGAACAAAACTTAATCAGCTATTTATCTATGTCACTACCCTTCCCCGCCAACATTCTTTGCTCATATCTCTTTCTCTACATACAGTGCTTTATGCATTCAGCATGTCTGCAGCTCCATACTGACAGCCTACTGCATGAGAACAGAAGCCTACTGTTTGGCCCATTTGGGCTGGCAAAATATAACTCTTTCTTTTCCGGTAACTTCTGGGCTTGGCTTTCTTTCCCCAGGTCCACAGCATCCAGTTCATGGAGTTCTCAGAAGTGGAGAACCAGGATGACTACTACAGCATAGACGCGGGTTACGTCTACACCCAGGACCAGCGAGGAGTGCATGTCATGTATGATGAAGCCTTGAGTGATCTGAAGGAGCTGGAGGCAGAAATGCTGCTTGTAGCCAGCCATTACATTGAGAAAGAGAAAGGTCAGAAGTCAGATTTTAAAAAATCAACCAGCCAAACAAATAATAAACACTAAGGGCTCTGTTTAACACCTTCCACCTGGAAACATAAATGCATATCCAATAGTATCTGAAAACTCAGTAAGTTCATACACCTCCCCTGTTTTAGAGAAGATATGGTTCTGCTTCTAGCTCAACTCCCTCTTCTTGTTGGAGACTGTGACTCCTCTTTCAAAGCGTGGTTATAATTCTGACTGTTGTTTAGACTCTGTTTGTTCCCCACCAGGTGAAGGGGGTGTCATGCAGGGCCCCGAGGGAAGCAAAGTAAGGGAGTGAAGGTAATAATTCTTTTTTCCTAAGTGACAAAAAAGTGATTGACCTTGGGGAAACAGCAGTTAGAAGCCGAGACACCCTAGAGTTCCTAACAAAAATCCAGCAGGATAAGCACCAAAAGAAGAAATCATTACTCAGGGTAATCAAATAACCTATACTATGGGTTCTCTTCTTCCTTCTGGCGTCACTCAAATGTATGCAATTCTAGAAATAGGTGAGGAAAGAAGAATCCTTTTGGAATAATATGATGACATTAGCATTATATTTGGAAAGAGCTTAGAGTTTCTAGACATATTGCAACACCTAAAAGGAAATTTAGCAAGGGTTTGTGCTATTTTGTAATATATATGGTTGGTAATTAAGAATAATTCATTTTGGGGTGCCTGGGTGGCTCAGTCAGTTAAGCGTCCGACTCTTGGTTTCTGCTCAGGTCATGATCTCACAGTTCATGAGTTCAAGCCCCACGTTGGGCTCTGCATTGCCGGTGTGAACCTGCTTGGGATTCTCTCTCTCTCTCCTCTCTACTCCTCCCTCTCTCTCTCTCTCTCAAAATAAATAAACTTAAAAAAAAGAATTTTAACATTGATATAAAATACTGCTCAAAGAATGTTTGACAACTAACCTTTCAGAGCCAGACAGAATTAACTTAACATTGGATTGAACTCTGCCCTCTTTGTTACAGACCATGGGTGTCTGAATCATGGGATGCAGTGATGGCATCCAACATTCTAGGGCATTTAATTTCAACTTTTAGCTTTTATCTTTACTGGTTATTCTACATACTGATGGCATAATTTTTATTGATATTAATTTATAATACTGTGCAACTGTTTCAAGCTGCTAAGAATTTAATTTGATTGAAACAGTCAGCAGTTATTTAGCCACATGAACAAGACCATCTTTCAGCCGAGCTAGTGAATATGTAGTCATCCATTGTGGAATGATTTCCCAACCTCTGCTGAAGAAATTCCTGATCAAAGTCTTTTTCTTGTTCAGTACCCATCATATACGTGATAATTATTGAACTCAAAGTTCAGCACCTGAAACTCTCTTACTTTTTGATATTTCAGTCTGAAATAGACCACTCAAAAATTGAAAGCAATACTCGTGCTGGTATTGAAAATTTAACATTAATATAGTGGGAAAATATTTTAGCTGAATATAATGACAAGGATTACTTACCTTTATTGATTTAAGTTAGGAATTAACATAATTAAGGAATATCTTAGAAACTTCTCTGAGAAGTTTTTACTTGGCTAATATCACTTGGAAGAGCAGGGTTAACCTGGGTTTGTGGTTAAACCACCAGGGACCTATTTTTAGAGAAGGTGAAATGTATGTTTTGCCTTTAAATTACAGGTTTGAGGATATTTTCGTGAAGATTTCATATTAACTGAATTTTGGTTGTATTTCTAAAATTAGCCTTTAAGACTAAAATAAAAAGTGGAAACAAAAACCTCTATTGACTTAGAAGTCAACAAGTGTGAACTTAGGTCCTAGTCTTGGCCAATGGCTCTCCAGCTGATTCTTAGGAACCCCTGTGACTGACTCAGTGTTTTCATTCCTGAGATGGAGCTGACAGTTCAAGGGCTGCTTTTCAAATGAGAATAGCTCCGTGGAAAGGCCTGTCTCTGATCATTCTCATCCCCCTTCTCCCAGGTCACAAAGAGGGCAGCAAGTCAAATACTGGCCAGGACTGGGGATGGGCCCATGCAAGCGTGGACAGATTTGCTGTGCTGTATGACATATGGACCTGGGAAGCAGCTCTTCTAGAAAATAAGCGCCAGGTATTTCTCCCTAGAAAACAAAACATCTGTTAAACTTTCTTACAAAACCCAGTATTTAAAACAAACAAAAAGCCTGTCTTTTGGGGCAGCTCCTAATAAAGTATGTAATTATTCTATTTAAATAATCTCAGCTAGTTGTAAGGGTGTGAATAATAAGTTTATTTTCTTGTGGTTCCTTGTTAACAAAAAATAAAATGTGAAGGGTACCACTTTATCTTATAGGCATAATTTGTTAGAGGGCTGTATAATTTAGGATCTTATATACATGTTTTTAGTGAGAATGGGTGATGATTCCATTCACATTCATTGTCCTGTCAGGGACGAGCCTCACTTTGCTACACACAGACACCCTGACTTTATTATGGCCTTTAGAAATACACCACATGTGGGTGGGGCAGGCAGTTGGGCAAGGTATGCTCAGCACAGCAAGTTACGAGGGTGAGTTTAAAGCAATGAGATGGCATCTTGCTAAATTCATCATCATACCATCAATGGCTCATATCCTAGTAATAAATGAGACACTGCTCTTCATTTGTATCCACAGCATGGATTATTAGCCCTTCTGATGGTCACCAACTCTTGGGAGTTTATTCATCAAACATTAAGTATCTCCTCTGTCTCAGGAACTATTCTAGACATTAGGAACATATGGATAAATAAGAGAAGATAATCTCTGTCTTTAAGGAATTCTAGTCTATAAAAGTTGACCCAGTCTCTAAATAAAAATTACAGGTGACTCACAGCTTACAACTGAGGCACACACAAGATCCCCAGAGACCACCGCGGAGGGAGGAATTTGTCCTGTGGGGGGCTATTGGAGTAAAGGAAATATTGGCAAGTCTTCTCAGAGGAATAGATCTTTATTTAATCCTGTTAGTAAGAGATGTGTAAGATGTTGTCTGTCAGAGAAGGAAAAATCCTTAAGCAGAGGAAACAGCATTAGCGATGTCAGGGAGGTATAAAACGAAGATGGTGAATTTGGAGAACAAGAGGACTTCTATGGCTAGGCTATAAAGGCATGATGAGAAATGAGCTGAATGTGTTTTGGGTGCAGCCTGTGAAGGGCCTGCTAATCCATACAACATTTACAGTGTATTTTATGAGCAAAGAGGAGCCATCGGTGAGTTCCAGTAAGGGAGAAATACGACCATAGCTCCGTTTTCACCAGTTGCTGGGGTATTCGTGGGGAGAATAGATTAGAGTGGAGCTCGTGCAGAAGAGCAGTGCAGTTATTGCAACAGTGACCTGGAGAGGGAAGACGGGACCTACACCAAGGATGGAACAGTGACAACAGGAAGGAGGGCAGACTTGAGAGCACTTTGTAGAAATGGAAATGTTGGGATTTGAAGACCAGACGCTGGGGTGAGAGTTTAATAAGGGTGGAATTAAAAAGGACTTTCTCAGGGTCAGGGAGGAGGCTATTAACTGAAATGGAATGCAGGAGGAGGGGCACTTTGGAGGGGAAGGTAATACCGAGTCTGCCACAACAGGCATGTGAGGAGAGTTTGCTAAAACTCAGGTGTGAATGTTTTGTGGGAAGTATAGGTTTGAAGGTCAGGAGCAGATATGAGCTGAGGTATGAAGGTGAACGTTGAGCCACAGTAATGAATCAAATAACTAGGAAAAGCCAGAGATGTCTTAAATGCAGCCCTGGGTAATTCTTGAATTTAAGGGGAAGATCACAGAACAAGAATCCTTGAGGGAAACAAGAAGTAGCCAAAGAAACTAGAGGACAAAAAAGAAGGGATAGTGTGATAAGAGCCAATGAAGGGGGGTGCTTTTAATTAGGAGAGGACAGTTACTAACTAGTGTGGCATGCAGCGAAACATCAAGAAAGAGGACTCCTAAACACCAGGCAGTGGGGTCAGTCCCCAGGGTCACTGCCAGCTTCATAGGACTCTCAGAGGAGGTATGGGGGTGGAAGCCAGCTTACAGTGCACTATGATGTGGTCAGAAGATGGGGAAGTGGAAATGTTTTCTTTGAATTGTTTTTCTAGTAGATTAGATGGTTAACCATTTCATCTACTCTCTGGTCTATTACTCATAGAGATGTAGGTCACCCAATTTTTGTAAACACCTGGCTGGGCTTAAAGGGTGAGAGCCTCGGGCTTTGAAAACCGTTCCTCTTTTCAAAGGGAACTGGCCTCTACAGAGTTTGCATCTGCACCCTTCATCTGCCAGTTAGAAACTTCCTTTGATCAACTAAGTGAGAGATCTAGACTCAGAGTGTAGCGACTGAAAAGGCTACATTAAATGTAAATAAGACAGAATCCCTGAACTCAACAGGTTTATTGTCGAAACATGAGTTTTAAGCAGCCCCCCTTTTCTGGGCTCTCTCTCCCCACCTTCCCTTTCAGTGCTTCCAGGCACTCTATGGAGGCCCCAGGCAGGACTCAATGGCAATAGAAGAATAGAAGGGCAGAGAGGACTGAAAAATCGATTTCTCCACACTTTGGCATGCACTTCATTCTGTGCTAAGCTACCAGGGCTGTTCACTAGTTTCCTCTATGGTAAATGAAATTATTTTAACTTAAAAAAATCATTGAAAACACCTCCCCCCTTTCTACCCTGACAATAAGTTCTCTATAGAAACTGAGCTATCTGTGCCAAAGCTGTGAAACGTGGCCTTCTAAATCAGAAATTCTGTCAAAAGAGCCTATTTCTAATGGATAAACCTTTGTGTTATCTAGAGTACAATTAATTTCTCCCAGTCCTGATTCTACTGTTCTGCCAAATATATTGGAATCCCTAAAGTTAAAAATTGCTCAAACACACTGGGCTGTCTTAAATCCTGAAAGTAACCATTTTGTGTGTAAACTCTCATAAAATTAGGGCTGATGTGAATTCAGGTGAATTAAGGAACTCTTAGAAAAGCCAGGCATTAGCTGTCCTGGCTCCTAAGTGACACTTGCTCCACATGCTAATTCTCTCTACAGCCACCAGAGGACACATTTTCAGGGTAATTTGAATTAGTGTTTGTAGAACTAAAATAAATAAATAAATAAATAAATAAATAAATAAATAAATAAATAAATAAATAAATAAATAAATACCTGTGACAGTTGTGGCTAGCACTGATTTTCTGTTTTGTACTTGCATTTGATCTAAAATGTTATTTTTTTAAGTTTTTTAAGTCCCAGAAATATAAGACACTTGAAGTAAAAATAATATAAACACAGAAAGGTTTGAGATTATTCGTTTTGTTTTTTTCCCATTTTCTCCAATATTTGATGCCTACCCTCAATGTGTACCACGCATTATTTTGCCTGAGAGTTGGCCCTTGACACACACAGGTGACATTTGACAGGCGAGGAAGACTTCTTAGACAAATACCAGCCTAGAGTTTAAATGGAAATGGGCCAGTTAGCAAACAGATAATACATAGAACCTGTGAGGCAGAAAGTTCCTCGTCTTTCCCCTGTTGGGAAAGTATTAATAATAAAATTATGCAAGGGTCCATCTGAGAGTTTCTTGAGGTTGAGGCCAAAGCTTAAAAAAGCCTAATGAATTTTTTAAAAGAGCCACGTTTTCCTTTTCAACAACTAGTGTTGCCAATTAAACTATGACAATATGCGGGACATACTTATACTCAAAAAGTGTTTGCTGTTTATCAGAAACTCAGATTTAACTAGGTGACCTCTATTTTTATTTGCTAAATCTGGCAATCCTGTAAACAACAAAAGCGAGGTTGGCAAATTAGCACCAACCTCTGCAACCTGGTATCAGCAGATTGAAATCACCAGCAAGAACCCTCCCCACAAACTTCTACCAAATAGCCAAACAATAGGGCTCTTTGTACAAAAAACAGGTCAAGGCATACAAATACTATAAACCAGCTCCTGGGATTGCCTTGGCTCAGTCAAAAAGGTTCAAGTTAGTCCAGAATGATTTAGGGAAGTAATTGTTTCTTTCCTAATCTCCTCACCTAGGCTATTAAGTGACACCTTTCTTACCTGTCACTCCCTCCTTTCTGCTTTGTCCTCTACTATTTAATTATTGAATGTTATTCTAGACTAGAGCTCAGCAGAGACAACCGGTAACTTAGATAACCCTGCTTGTTCAATTTTCCCCAAGGCTCACTTACAGGGCGGGAGATCTCCACCTTTCTTCATTCCTTGATCTGAGATGTGTGAGTTCCTAACCTACGAGTGCATTGTGTGTTCTGAGATTTTAGCCTCCTTTGGTGCTTTCCCTTTCATGCTAAGGTTGGCCTAAGGTCCCTGAGTCCAATTTCCCAAAGGGCATCCTGCAAATCCAGATGCTAAATAAAGTGCCCTAGGATCTCCCTCCTTGTGCTTTAGCATTGAAGCCCAGATACTGCACATCTGTTAATAAGACAATGTTTGATTCCTACTCTGCTATTGATTCTTGAGTGTTTACCTCTCTAGGGAGTCTTGGAAGCCATGATTAGCAAGATGGAGACACTCCTGGCTTTTCCTGCCACATATTCATGTAGTGCTTGCACCTTCTCAGTTCTTTCTGGTTTTGTATTCTTTTCTTAGCTATGGACTCCACACAAAGAGAGGGGCTTGTTATCACCTTCAGGGAAATTTCTTATTTTGTTAAGAAGAGGGTTGACTTCCTGCCCCAAGCCACCAGGAAGACCAACACCCAAGGAAACAAAACACACTCTTTCTCTGATGCATCTCAAAGTGTGCTAGGCTGTCAGATTGGTGGAAATTGCAACCTCAGCAATTCACTCCTTTCTGCCAATTAAATCCACACACTGGGCAAGCCTGTGTGTCTTTAAAATAGATAGGCCAATAGGTAATGGAATGGAATGATAGATAGATAGGTAAAAGGCCAAATATACATATGCCAGCATATGTATATATATATATTGTTTTAGCTCAATTTTAGCTAATTTGTATGCGGTGCTTCAACGCTTTGACCGTACTGCCTGTATATATACAGTGTGCTCTTGGTCTTGGGGGTAGGTTTCCATGATTCATCACTTACATACAACACCCAGTGTTCATCCCAACAAGTGCCCTCCTCAATGCCCATCACCCATTTCTCCCACTCCCCCCACCCCATCAACCCTCAGTTTGTTCTCTTTATTTAAGAGTCTCTTATGGTTTGCCTCCCTCTCTGTTTGAAACTACTTTTTCCCTTTCCCTTCTCCCATGGTCTTCTGCTAAGTTTCTCAAGTTCCACATATGAGGGAAAACATGATATCTGTCTTTCTCTGACTTATTTCACTTAGCATAGTACTCTCCAGTTCCATCTACATTGTTGCAAATGGCAGGATTTCATTCTTTCTCATTGCCAAGTAGTATTCCATTATATATACAAACCACATCTTCTTTATCCATTCATCAGTTGATGGATATTTGGGCTCTTTCCATAATTTGGCTATTGTTGATAGCACTGTAAACATTGGGGTACATGTGCCCCTATGAATCAACACTCCGGTATCCTTTGGATAAATTCCTAGTGCTTTGGTGATATGACTACAATGGGAGCTGACACCTTCCAGAAGAGTGAACCCTCCATAAGAGGAGCTAGGGAAAGAAGACTGGGAAGGGACATCTTGAGCTAAAACTCTGAGGGAGGAAGTGTTGGATTAGATCAGTAGAGGAAAGGAATCTGTTCTGTTGTGAAATGAATGGAATAAAACTTCAGAAGCTTCCAGTGAAAGCTGATTTATCCATCAGGCAATGTGGACTTGGTGTTTAGGATCTAAGAGCTTTTCAGGTACCATTGAAAATGTTTGGGATTTGAGAAAAAAAAAACTTATGCATTACTCTGAAATATGAAAAGAAAATACAACATAGAACGCAGTAATGCTTAATCACATGTCAGTAAAATGTAAAAACATTGTTAACTCAGCACTTATAAACATTTCTTTTGCATCTGAAAATTTCTAGATCAGATCTTCTCACTTCTTAAGAATCTCTGAATATATACTGCCCAGAAATCATAGCCAATCATTAACTCAAAGTGATGTTTGTAGCCAAATTGAAAAGCAAAATTCTAAATATCATTTAACATTTTTACAGAAAAAAAAAATTGAATGGGATGTGAGTATGTCTTACTATAGTTGATATAATGTGGGATAGGGTCTCCAAAAAAAGATTGTCTAAGCCCTATGAAGGCCTGAACAGTAATCACACTGTTCAGAACTGCTTAATTATCTTGCCCTTAGGTCCCTGTTTGGGATTCCAGCCCAGTGATCTCTCAAGAGCCTTTTCCTGATTAGCACCATGACTAATTACACACAAATAGAATTTACACTCAGAACAGAAATTTCTTACGCTCACAGACAAATGTAAAAGCAAAATAAAGAACATCTCTCTCTGGATTCTCACATTACGAACCCTCTTCAATGGTTAGTGTCTGGAAGCTTTCTTTGGTTTTTAGGAAAGGCTTGTGACCTCCACTGGAATTAAATT